GATGTGCAATTAGTCCTCATTGGGTTGTAGTGAATAAGGTCATTTCTCTAGATGGCCCATTACAATATGTTGGAAGTATATTGATCCAAATGTTGGAAAAATATTGTGTATCTCAGTAACATTTGTCCTCTTCTCTCACAAGTAAATGTAAATTGTTTTAACTATTATCTCGTCAAAATTCTGATGAATGTGCAAAATCAAATAGCTTGTGATACCTATTGGAATAAGTAGGTAAATATATTTCTGTCTACATGCTGATTATAAATCATTAAATGCAATCGGTCTGTTTATATACATTTAATAATAATAATCCTGGCATTTGATATAGCGCTTTTCACGTCTTCTAGACGTCCCAAAGCGCTTCACAGAATAGACTGTAAAGTGAATTGACTGTATATTTGTGGGCGAACGCGGCAGCCAATTGCGCACAGCAATGTCCCACAAACAATCATGGATTGAAAATGACCAATTTATTATTGTTTGGGGTTTTTGGAGGGATTATTATTAGGTGTGTGGAGTAAGGAAACTTGCCCAAGGTTTCGCCCTCTGCCTGGAATTGAACTCAGGTCTCTCGCTTGCAAAGCGAGTGCTCTAACCACTGAGCTACAGGACTTATATACATTTCCTGTCAGTTGTACGAGTTGCTTAGATCTTTGAATAATGAGGGCATTTCTATAGGACTCAACCTACTGTACTTCTTTCTCCATCCTTGCTTTAGTTATCTTCTTGTAGATGATCCTTGGATTGTCTTGAATGCAATACACATCAATATGACAGCAATAGCTGGCAAACATATCAGGCAGGGAGAGGGGCAAGCCAGCAAATTAAGAGATGTTAAAGGAATGATTAGGATTACAAAAATAATAATCCTTGCATTTGATATAATAATAATAAGAGTTGCAATTGGCTGGGCATGGCTACCTGTGTTGAAACACCGGATGGTATTTTGTATTTGGGGCATTGTGTAATTGGTTTAAAAAAAATCAAAACACAAAATTAAATTGTGTCTGTCTGGGATTCTGTATAATTGGCGAATGAAAGAACATAAAAAATGAAGAGAAGTAGGTAGTAACAGAAGCTAAGTATGGGTAAAGGCACATGAACAGCAAAATCAAATTATGATAAGGAAACAGCAAAGAATTTTATAAATTAGTTTTCAATACCGTGAAGTACAAATTGGTGCTAGTTTGTGAACTGAGTTAACTACTCTAATCTCAATGCACTTCCCTTCATGTTCTTCCTCTTCAAATGTTTATGCAGTTCCTTAAAATGTTGTCATGATCTCATCCTCAAAAAAACACTGTGACAAAGTGTTCATATTTTTAATAATGTTCTGACAGAACAGGAAGATGCCTCAGAAGGAAGGAATACAAAGTAAACTACAGAAGTACAATCTTATGTTTGAACATTTGCAAGCATGAGAGAAAATAGTAAGTTTTGCTCTTTGTGTATGTGTCTATTTGCTAATAGCAAGGAAGGGTGATTTACTGGAAGTGTTTGATCAGGAGTTGGGAGCACTTCATTTTCCCCCAAAAAGGATATAACTTGCTTTTGTATGTTTGTGCCCGTAGGCAGACTTTTCCTGCCAAAAATACTGGGGCCTGGGTTACAGCCTTTAAAGTGACTGTTAGGACGAGTCTCCTCCCTCTTTGACTGAATGAAGTTGCACGATCAGTCCGCAGGGAATGGCAAAATCTATATGCGCTGCATTTAAACCCAAGCTAAACTCATTTAAACTCAACTGCGTATGCTTGATCATGACATCTGGGCATTTTCCAAGGATCCTTCTTGTGTTGGGACGCTGCAGTAAAGGTTTCGGCCAATAGATGTCCTCACTGAACGAGATACACACCAGAGCTCCCACTAGAGGCAGTTAATGTATACTACGTGTTTCTGTTAGTTTCTATGGACAACATGGATATTTCCAGGTCCCACATCTTTGGATATTTCCACTTCCAGTGGGAGCTTCATTCTACACAGTATTGAGACTGAATTGACTTCTGATTCTCTTTAGCCTTATACGGTGGCAGTTGTATAAACTGAATTTGTCAGCGAAATCAATGATAAGCTATTAGGTTTTTGCTGGGTAGACTCCAGCAGTACTCCAACGCACACTCTGTGCTCCCCACGCCTTGGCTCTTGCTAACCTGCGCCCAATACTTTCTGGAATTACGTACGCCGGATGCGTCCCTCCAGGGAGAGCTGAGCACTCCATTCCAACAATCTGTCTCTTGGATTTCCATGTATAGTTTGGATACTCTTAAGCGTGGTGATGTGTTTCCACATGTGTCAGACACCCAGCTGACCCCCCAAAAATGTATTAACTGAACTGCAACATATTTAATAAGCATTTACCATGGAGCAAACTGTCCATAAGCCTAATGGAGACTATTGCTGCCAGGACTTAAGAGGAAATCTCTTTCATGAGTGGTGCCAGGATCATAAGGGAATCTTTTGCCACCACTGCAACAGAGACCAAAAAGGAATTCAGTACCATCACTGCCAATAGGCACTGAGAGAAATGTTTCCCACTCACTGGGGACCTACAATCTAATTGTAGGTAGAATAATCTACTGCTCAAATAGATTTTAAAATGATTTATGCTGTGGAGCTAGCTACGGTGATGACTTTCAGTTTGGATTATAAGAGTGAAGCCAGAATTGCTGTTTCAAGGTCAAAGTTGAAGCTAAAGACAATTTATGAAAAGAATACATTTTAGTACTTTAGGCCATATATGTAACTTTTTTTATGTACAAGTATTATTTTAATTTCTAATTATTAGTGGTATCTTGGATCTTTTGGTTCCACAACTTCAAAGTCCGAGCATCAGGAAATGTTTGTTACAAATATAATAATCAGATGAGAGATCAGAGACTTAAGATTTTATAAGGTAACAATAACAACTTGCACTTAAAGAGCACATTTCATGAAGGATAATTTCTTGCAGCACTTTGACTGACTGGGAGCCTGAGTAATTTTCTTTTTTGGGGGGGATGGGGGGGAGGTATCTAAAGATACAAAGAATGAGTTTTCAGAAGGGGTTTGAAAGCAGTATATCTTGCCTTTTCAGATTATTTCTCAGTTATCTTTTTTAAAAAAAATAGTAAATTATTATTTAAGAATGTGCAACTGCTGCATTCGCACAGTAGCGCAATAGATGATTGATCACTGATGGTGAAAAATCTCAATGAAGACCAGACTGCAGGCAATCCACAAATTCACATGCAAATTATTAAAACAAAACTTTGAGGAATAAACTTATTTTTATAATGCTTATAATGTAGAAACATCTTGAACTTTGCTTCAAAGCAAAGATTATTGTCACATGTAATGACTTCTTTTAGACAAATGTGCAGCCATTTTGCATACAGCCAAGTCCCATGGACAGGCATGAGATGAATGACCAATTAAACTGGAGGATCATTGTTCAGGCATCAGCTTTCTCTTTTCAATTAATGTGTGGGATACTTAACAATGGCTTATCTATAGGATAGCACCTCCAACAATGCAATAATCTAGAGAACTGACGAGAGGGCTGACGACTAACTTATATAAGTATAGTAACATGTTGAAACATCTTGGGGCTTTTCGCACAATAATTTGCAGCCAATGAGATAAACAACTAATATTTGTTGGGGAATTTGAGTGCTATAGTTAAATGTTGGAACAATTTCTATGTTGTGTTTCCAACCCCTGATGTGTTCTGTTGATAAATTGTAAACATTAACCTCTGTGAAGACGAAACTGGGAATTGTCACCTCGAAAAAGTAAATGCAGAAATGCATAACAAGATGTCAGGGTAGCAAAACAAGAGGGTTCAGGGTTGTGAAGGACAACTGAATTGGTGGTTTACTACTTGTATTTGATATAGCACCTTATAATGTTAGTGAGAAGTCTCAAAGCACTTCACAGGATATACTATAAAGTGGTGTGACTGCATATTTTGTGATGAACCTGCATTCAGGGGAGTTTATATGAGCACAGGTCTTTTTTTGTAAAATTGCAAAGGTGGAGCAAAACTACCACAAAATACAATCCATGCGTATGGTTTATTATTCAACTCAATAATTCAGGGTTCATGGGGTTTATTTGGTGGGGGAGCTGGAAGTGTGTGAGTCAGGATTGCTTCTCAGTGATGCCATTTAGTGGCACATTTCGAGATTGGGTGATCAAACCTGTGTCGTTACACAATTTATCTGCAATGATGCATTCTTTTCAGTGCCTTGAGGTGTCCTCACATCGATCCACTTTATACTGAAGCACTTTGGGAGATCTGATGCGGTGCTACATTGACGTGATAAGGTCCTGTGTAACTTATTGGCCGGAGCGCGCTCGCTCTGGCCTCTGCCCCGACCTCACACCCAATGCTCCCGAGTCCTGCAGCTCAGCGGTGAGAGCACTCGCCTCGCAAGCGAGAGGACCTGGGTTCGGTTCACCGTCCGGGCGAAACGCTGGGCAAGTTTCCTTACTCCCCGCGCCTCTGTTTACCCAACAGCAAGTAAAGGACCCGGTCGTTAGTCGATTGGCGGATCGCTTTTCCGGCGGTGGGGGAACAAATAACGCCTTTTTAAAACAATAATAATTTGGCGGCTCGGCCCCGCCCCGGCCCGGCCCGCGGGACGCCGCGGGGGCGCAACCGTCCGCCGCCGCCGCCCTTTGCCCCGGCAAAACCCGCGGCCCCCTTTCGCTCTCCGGTCGGCGCCCGTCGCGCGGAGGGCTTCGAGGCGGCTCGGCCGGCGTGAGGCGAGGGCGCCGGATGGGATGCAGGGAATTATTACTAATATTATTATCACTACTATTATAACTATTATCATCTGGGAACATTGCAAAGCAGTCTCTCTCTCTCTCTCTCTCTGTGTGTGTGTGTGTGTGTGTCCCCCCTCGTCCCTCTGTGGGCGAGTCCATCGCGCTCGCGGGGGTGGAGTGGGGGGGGGGGGAGAGAGAGAGAGAGTGAGTGTGAGAGAGAGAGAGAGAGAGGAAGAGAGGAACCGAGCGAGAGAGAGAGAGAGAGAGGGAGAGCGAGCGGTGGCGGTGGTGGCGGACGCCCGGGGCTCGAGCAGGAAGGATGTGGAGGGAGAGAAGCGGCCGCCGCGACCCGAGTCATTTATATTAACAATAGGTACGAAAACAACAGCGGGAGAGAGAGAGAGGGAGGGAGAGAAAGAAGGAAAGAAGGGAGTGAGAGGGAGGGAGGGAGGGGGAGCGTTCGCTTGTGATGGTGCGGGGGGTTTGCTTTGTGGCCGCGGTTTGCGGGATCGGGCGGTGCGGTGCGGGGCGGCGGGAGTCGGGGCTGAAGCGTTTTGGGTGTTGAACCCCCATGATGTCGGGTGGGGAGGGAGGGAGGGAGGGGGTGTGTGTGTGTGTGCGGTGGGGGTTGGGGGTGGGGGGGGGGAAATGGAGGCAACTTCCCTGCCCTCCTTCCTCCCCGTTTGTAGGCAATTTCCTGTCGCCTCCTTCCCCCCCTCCTCCCGCCCGCCCTCGAGAGTCTTTAAATATTAAAAAAAAATACCACACGGAGTACATGACACGACAACAACCAAAAAAAAATTGATAATAAATTAAGTTGCGTGAAGAGAGCCTCGGCGGTGGGGGGGGGGGGGGGGGGAGTATTGAGAGTCGGGGGACTCTCTGCTGTGGACTCTGCCCGTGTTTTTGTGTGTGTGTGTGTGTGTAGAGAGAGATAATAATATATAATATATAATATATATATATATATAAACAGACTGTGTCGCTCGCTGTGCTGTCATCCCCGGGTAGTGGTGGTGGTGGCGGCGGTCCTGTCGGGAGGTGGAGCGGCCGCACCGTCTGTTGAGAGGGAGGTTTTTTTTTAAAAAAAACCAGTAACGGTCGCGGTGTGGAACGTGGCTACTGGTGGCGCGAGGGGAGAGCGGCGGTTGGGCGGGAGGGGGGGGGTTGGGGCGCGCGCGAGGGGGGAGGGCCCTCCCCCCCCACCACCGGCCGTCCAGACTGAGAGACAAAAGACCGCGCTGAGGGGCGGCGCCGCGGCAGGAAGCCCCGCCCACCGGCCGGCGCCGATTGGCGAGCGCCCCGCGGTGTCCCCCGGATGTCCGTGACGTGACGCGGCGGCGGGTGGGAGTGACGTGACGTGACGGTCCGGGTGACGTCACGATTCCAGCCCCGCCTCCTCCTCCCCGCAGCCCCTCCCCCTCACACACACACACACTGTGTTCTTTCCGGTGAAGGTTGACAGAGGTTTATGCTGATGATCATCATCATCATTAATAATAATAATAATAATAATAAAGAACTGTGGACCTCCGAAGTGTTTTTGTGCATGTTCCAGAGTTAGGTTTTGCATCGGTTTTAAATGCATTTCTTTTCTCTTTCGCATCTGGGGTCCCTCATCAAGACCTTCCTTCCTTCCTTCCTTCCTTCACCTCTGCCCAATAGCTCACCTCTTTGCCCGATCTCACGCGCAACGTGTTAAGTCCTGTGGCTCTCGGCGGTCAGAGCACTCGCCTGGCGAGCGAGAAACCCGAGCTTGATCCCCGCCAGCCAGGACGAAACGCTGAGCGAGTTTCCTCACTCACTCCGCGAGCACCCCGTTTACCTTGCGGGAAGTAGGAACCCGGTTGTTAGTCGATGGTCAAATTGCTTTTCCGGGGGGCAATCATTCCTTAAAAAAAAAAGAATAGATTGGCCACTCGGTACGCGACTGTTTGTGGGGACGCTGCTGTGCGCAGTTGGCTGCTGTGTTTCGCCCACAAAATATACCGTCAATTCACTCTGCAGTATATTCTGTGAAGCACTTTGAGTTGTCTCAAAGACGCGATAAGGCGCTATGTCAAATGCAAGGATTATTATTATTGCGCTCCCTCTCTACGCCACCATCGATGATTGAACCTTCAGTTTGAACCTCTGGACCTCCCTCCCTCTGTCACTCTTGTCTCTTTTTGTCTCTTAAGTCCCGTCTCAAATCCTACACACACAGGTGCTACAAAAAAGGCACTAAGTGCAAGTATCGTTACTATTTATTCTCCATATAACTAATTCCCTCGCATTCTAACTTTGTTCCATCTCTGGATGCGTTGGTCTGTTCCACACATTCACATAAATCTCAACTGCTTGAGTTTAAATCAACATTCCTTGCTATCCAAAATCTGACCCTGGTGATGTGTGTCGATTCTTCAAACAGTACACTTAGTATGATATGAGGTTATATTGTACTAACTAATACATTTAGGCCTATGATAGGTATTCCCCATTATAAAATCACATTTCCCTTGGCCTCGCCAAAAATAGACCGCAAAAATAAGATTGTCTGCTAAAGTTTGGATTTTTAAAGGAGGGAAATGAGCAAGTGGTCTAATACAAAAAAATACTTCACCAAACATTTATTTTCAGTACTGTAGAATAAAGAGCTGAGTACCTCAGTACCTGAGTACAGCATATCCTCAGGCTGGATATTCTTGTTTGGGATATTTTTGACGTGTTTGAGATTGCAGCTGAAGATGTCTTTTGGTAAATTTTAGGATTCACATGAGGGCATCGTGCATGGGCTGATTCACAGGATGTCGTGCTAATGAAAAACTTCCCCTTTCGTTAATTTAGATGTAATATGAGTGGAGAATCGTGGGGGAAAAACTGAAGTACAGCAGGCAGCAAACAAGCGTGTTTTTTTAAAAATAAGGTGTTATTAGGGTACTGTCTTTATTGAACGGTGCCTGGTGAATTTCTTTTCCTGTATTTGTTAAACCGTGCAAACCATGTCAAAATGTGATTTTGCTTGAAACGCTGTAATGCTTCACTTTCATGTGATACAATTGCAGCAAAAAGTCGTGTAGTTTCATCACTTATGTTTCTCTCCAGCCTTAAAGAGCAGGTTTCTGTAATCATTGCTGCTTTGCCTCTGGGCTGAACTGTTGTGCCTACTTTTCAGATGTAAACTGATGGGATCACACAGACATAAAATAATAGAAGGAAGTTGGAGAAATTATGATTCTAATTGTTCGACATAGTGCAGCTGAGTTTTGCCCAGGAGGATGTCACCTGAATGTTGCTCTGTTGGGTTAACTAATTGATTGTGCCTTGTGAACATTATTATTCATAATCTTACATTTGATACAGTTCCTTTCACATCAAGAGGATGTCTCCGAGTGCTTCGTAGGGTTTACTGTAACGTGTAGTTGCTCTGTATTTTGCAGGCCAACAAAATTCTTTCGTCAGTTTATCTGTGCCAGGAAACTTGGAGTAGTAACTTCTTTTTTTTTTAAAAAAAAGGGTTGGGGATCCTTTGTTTACCTCGCAATAAGTAGAAACCAGGTTATTAGTCGATTGGCGTTATGATCCCTTTAAAATAATAATAATTTGATCAATCAATTCAGGATTGTTTGTGGGACACTGCTTTGCACAATTGGCTGCTGCGTTTTGCCCACAAAATATAGTCAATTCACTTTACAGTATATTCTGTGAGGCGCTTTGAGACGTCTCAAAGGAATGCTAAGGTGCTATATCAAATGCAAGATATTATTATTATAAATCCAGAGTACATCAATCAGCATCTGAAAGAGGAAAAGTAGGCTTTACGTTTCGGGTGAGACCCTTCATCAGAACCCAAAACGTTAACCTATTTTTCTATTTCAGATGCTGGTAGAAATGCTGGGAATACATAACAGGTAAGGTTTTATTTTACCCTTACAGCATTCAGTTTTTCCTTTCAATTCTAGTAACCTCTAACTCCAGTATTTAGAGCTCGGTATAACTGCATAGAAAAATCAGTATTCTTTGAAATCAATAATAATAATAATAATGCGGCAACAGGTTTGCAATGTATTTGAGTTTGTTTACATTTGTAGAAATGTTTTCATTGATGTACAATAATTAACTTAATAGATTTCAGAAAGGGCGATCATTTTAGTTCTTAACAGGTGCTACGTGTTCTGGCCAGGAATCTTACAAACGTTCATGTTGAGATTTTACATATGCTGAGTCTTGTATGTGATTGATTTCTTGTAGTGAAAATACTGTAAATCAGTCATTTGTTTAACTAGTGCACAAGTTATCAGTGCAAGTAAATATTATTTACTTGTCCTGTAGCTCAGTGGTTAGAGGATTATTAGAGCACTCGCTTTGCAAGCGAGAGACCTGGGTTCGATTCCCGGCAGGTCAGGGCGAAACCTTGGGCAAGTTTCCTTACTCCACACAGAGCCTAATAATAATCCCGCCAAAACAAAACAATAATAAATTGGTCATTTCAATCCACGACTGTTTGTGGGACACTGCTGTGCGCAATTGGCTGCCGCGTTTCGCCCGCAAATATACAGTCAATCTACTTCACAGTCTACTCTGTGAAGCGCTTTGAGACGTCGAGAAGATTTGAAAAGCGTTATATCAAATGCAAAGATTATTATTATTATTATTATTATTTACCAGTGTATAAAATTTAGATATTGTGTTTTAAATTCTTAGGAGCATTTTTGTTCTGTTTTTAGGTGATCAATGGGTCAAGGCTGGGTAGTTAGAGTTGAGGTACAGATCCGCCATGATCTTATAGAATGACAGAACAGGCTCAAGGGGCTGAATGGCCTACTCCTGTTTCTATATGTTTTATGTTTCTAACAATGAGGGACATATAGGAAAATAGACTCTGGAAAAAAAGTATAACCATTTTACACAGAGGTTGAGTGGTTTAGAATGAATATATAATGCACATGTATTTTTATATATGTATATATCTCAAATTGGAGCAAAAGCCCAGACCCGATTCATTTATATTCTTACCCGTTTTAAATATGCCGGTTAATTCGTACAATCCTCTGGTTAATTCGGACAAAATGCTGTGATGGACGCGCTGAATGTACTCATTTATATTTGATCAATCAAATTCCAAACCAAGGTGACTTTTTTCCTTTTAAGTTGCATAATGTGATAGTAATAATAATCCTTACATTTGGTATAGCACCGTTCACATCAGGAGGACGTCCCAAAGTGTTTTTATTTTGGTCAGCCGGGTTCTGACACATGCGGAAACCCAACATCACACGTAAGAATGTCCAAACCAAACTGAGAGCTCCACGCGTCCCACCTACACATGGAAATGATCCATTCTGTAAACCAAGTGATCTTACTCCGAAGTCTCAGACTCGATCTGCTTCTCATCATCTCTGCAGCTCAGAAAGCGTTGGTGTAGATGGCGAGCTAGGATTGTCCTGGAGACCTGTGAGTGAGTAAACATTGACTGCTCAGAGCTCATCTGTCGTTATTTTATTTTGTCAGCCCGGTGTCTTGACACGAGTAAACCCATCACCACGCTTCCCCCTTCAGCTCTCGCAACCGGCTTGAGTGCTGAGGTTTGTCGTGGTCAGCCGGGCGTCTGACACGTGTAGAAATCCATCACTATGCTTAACGGTTTCGGGCTGACCGTAAAGACCCCAGCCAGGACTGTAAAGTTCTTTGAAATGTTCCCCCGCTGTTAAAGGTGCTGTATTAATGTAACTTGTACTGTTCCGGTTAATGGCATATGGTTTAAAATTTAAACCTGGTTGAGCTTTGCCATATTTTTGGCTCCACAAACGATTGATCAAATTGATCTTCAGATCCCGAGGCTGAATCTTTTGTCGGCTTCTGGAGGTTTATTTTGAGGAGTTGATAGTTTTTTGGAGGTGAAACACTATCCTTTTCTGAAGTACGCTAGGAATTATTTTACAGCAAGTATCATAAATATCTAATATAAATAATATATAATATACATAAAAAGCATTGTATTCAGAAAGGTTTTATGTAATATTTGAGTATTTGGTTGCCTCAGATTTTATGTTTCCACTTTTATCAAATCAAAACAAAACTATGTTCACACCTAGAATTTGATTTTTTTTTCTCTCTCTCTTGGTCGCAACAACGAGGTTGAAAGGGTATTTATCTAAATACATGTTTACATTTACCATATTAAAATTGTCATGTGTAGCTGCACAGCATTCAATAGTCTAAGATCAGAAAAGCGTTCTGTTCTGAGTTACCACGCGTATCGAGTCAGGGAAAACAGAATACTATTGCCTTAACTAGAGAGATTAAGTATAGGGGTGGGTTTCGTCGTCAACTTTGCCACTTCACTGTTGAGCACCTTTTTGAGCCAAACACACGGATGTATTTTCGCTAAGTAAAAAAAAATCGCTGAGAAAAATTGTTGACATTGATAAAGTAGTTTGGGACTACACCCACTGGAGTGATTGAAAGAAACATATCAAACTGTAGATGTCATGGTCCTCACCATTTGGAACCATGTGTCCACAAGGATGGAGACAGTGCAGCCGACTCGCTTCATTAACTGACAATCCTCCTTTGTATTAAGGTTGGATGGACTTTGGTTATAATGGTTACAGAGGTGAAAATCCCAGATCAAACAGCCTCGTGCTCCCAAAGACCAAATATAAAATATATAATGAATCATATCAGAGCTTCTCAGGCAAGTTTACATTTTCAGCCCAGCGTAGTCAACCCAAGGCTGGAAGTGAAATGCAGAGGTATCAGTCATAAAGGGATTAATTATGAATATCGAACCCAAATAGATACCCTGTGTATCTGATGGTTCTGGATCAATGGTCAGTGTTTTTTTTTGGAACAGTAATGAAAAGCAGCAGTCAGTACCTGTTTGACTGGCATCGTTCCCTTCGATTGGTTTTTGTTTAACGTAAATTTGGAACATATTTCTAAACATGAAGGTTTCTTTGTGATCTTTGTAATCTTTTGAGTCAGCCAGTACCGTAACCTCATCCAGCTGCGCTCGAGCTTCAGAGACTCGAGTGTGCATTTTTAACTTCAATCGTAACCAATGTTACACAATATTTGGGTCCTGTTTACTGGTTAGGGGACATTGCCCACAGTTCAGGAAAGCATTTTTATAGAATTTGTTGGACTAACCTTGCCAGATTAATCTTGGCCCTCGATCTGAGAATGGTACAGAGCCTTTCACTGCAACTACCAGTTAGTTCCTTTTCCTTTAGGTGAACGCAGTAATCCTTGACATTTACCACTTGTCTGAAAGGTCTTAAGAGGTATTAATATGCAAATTAAAATCCGCTCTATTTCACTGGGTTGAAAAATAAAACCACCACCTTAAGCAAGTGATTGGTCCTCCAGTAGGGTTACCTATGTTTCTTGCTGCCTTCTAGGTCTGTGTGTGTAATATCAAATTTGGTGCGAATCATTGCTTCCACTTTGCCAAAGTGCATAAGGCATTGCCGTACTGTATCTGTGATAGAACATTTCAGGGATTAGATACGCAGTAAGTTATTCTGCGGTTTCATCTTTAGAACCCGTAGTTGAATTCCAAGCAATGGAATGAAGGCTTTTTCAGTCCCGTGGGCGATGGATTAGGGCAATCTCAACCCATTTCTTGTTTGCAGGTTTCAGAGCGCAACATTGCCCTTAGTTCAGCACAAATTAGCACAAAGAGCCCACAGGGTGGCTGGTGTGGGGAGCAGAGAAATCCACACTGGCACAGCAGCAATCTCTTTTCTGAGGTTGTGCTTACGGCACATTATTTGTGGGAAAGTGGAGTAACTGGTCCATGTATGTTCTGTCCTGGGAGTGCTTGATGCTGACATTGAATGCCTGAAGGGGGAAACTATTCCATTTGCTAGTTCACTGGTAGTTTTAACCCCGATGAAGACAAGAATCATCCAAAAAAAAACTTCCTGCATTAGCATTGTATGACCACTTTCATAAGCCTTCTTCCCTTGTATTTGAAATCAGTACCAGCCCTGTTTTCAATCTCATGAGGATGTGGAATGTCCTACCAAGAATAGTGTTTGATGCCGAATCCATAACAGCCTTTAAAAGGGCATTGGACAAGTATTTTTAAAAAAAGAGAAATATATATTAGAAAGTATGGGGAATGGGGCAGAGACATAGGAATAAAATCATAGCTTAAAAAGCCAGCACAGTGCTGGCCAAATGGCATCTTCTGGGTTGTAAATTTCCATGATTCATAGCAGCCACATTTTTTTATTTCTTTGTTCTCTTACCAAAACTCAGAGCCTCTAGTCTTTGAGGGGTCAACTTTGTGCTTATGGAAGAATAAGTTCAGTAAACAGCTCCTCTTAACTATTCCCTGTGAATTAAAGATTACATGAATTCTAATAGAAAATAAAAGAAGGTCTATGCACTATTCCTGTGTTTTGTGGCTCTTCCTCTGTGCTTGTACCATACCTTCTGGCATATTAACGTATGGTTTTACAAATTCCCGTGTCGTCTCGGCTGGACTAATAGTAATTTTACCCATGATGTTAAGGGGATCAATTCAAAATTTTATATTATATTGGAAGCCAGGCAAATGACATGCACACAAATGATGTCTCACCCCTCCAGGTCATGTTAGCAGAACATAAACAGTCATGGCATACACTCATAGTAATGCGATTAGGAAAAATAAACTATAGGCTACAACCCAGGCAGATTTTTTAATGCTTCATAGGCATCATCTGTGCAGAACTGTTCAGGGATATGGGATGCTCGTGCAGCTCGCTATCTCAATATTCACATCTGTCGGCGATTCTGAATTCATGCAGTTTTAGAACTCAGCATCTTAATGATAATAATAATCCTTGCATATGATATAGTGCCTTTCACGTCGTCGAGGCACCTCAAAGCACTTCACAGGATATGTAAAGTGGTTTTG